TCCAGTCTTCCCTTAATGGAATTCCTGAAAGGGATTTACTAATGGCACATTCCACTCATTTTGGCCAGCCTGTCATTACAGGCCCTGTGAAATAGCTGTGGAAATCAAGAGAAAAAAATACTTGAATTTGAGAAGGGTGTTCAGACTCATTTTTATAGCTCAGAAGCAAACCAATACAGATAATCTGCCGTGGACCTGCCCAGAATGTTTAACTCCTTCCTGGCATTTGGCAAGGATGAGGCTGGAGGGTTGGATTTCAAAGTAGGAGATGCTGTTCCATTCCACCAGAGTGTTACCATGTTGAGACAACGGCCTGGCTGAGGAATAGTAAAGAAAACTCTCTAAAGCCCCAGATATGATTACTTTTGTTCTCAACCTAAGCTTCATCACAAGGTAATCTTGGGAGGTGTATTTAATTTCTAAGAATCACGTCACCTGTTTGTGTGAAAGCATGCCATACACATCAGCCACACCTCCCTGGGGAGGGGACAGGACAGCTAGGGCCTCTGCAAAGGACAAGGAAATTCCTGTATGCATCCTTGTGAATGGCAAAGGGTGCCTGACATCTGAGCAGGCCAATTCAAAGGAAGATAAGTCAGCGTTAACAGTCAAGGCAACCCCAATGGTTTTAAGTGGAGTGAGGCACATCCATGCTATGGTGGTCCAGTGGTGTGCCCACCTCAGTGCCAGGGGCTTCCTAGGTTCCCTGTTGGGTCTTAGCCTCAAACCCCGCTGACCTCCTTTCAAGTCCCATCGTCTGTGCTCCTGTGACCTGGGCCACGTCCTTGAGCCTCATGTATTCCACAGGGTGAAAGGGCAGAATTGGCCTCTGAGCCAAGTGGACTAAAGAACTTCTTTAATTTTACAAATGGTTACTGCGCTGGTCTCCATGGGGGGCAGCATTATCTAGAGAACCCCAAGTACTCCACTTGGTCATGTGACCAGTCACATCCCAATAAAAAAGAGACCCTGAGTGAATGGGCTCTGAAAGCAGAAAGTGCTATTTAAGTGTCAAATCTCTTTACCACCCGCATCTTCACCTAAGCATTTCATGATGTGGATTCTCTCTCAACAAGGGGTCCTCAATATTACCAACGTAGTGTTTACCCTACAGGAAGCAAAAGCTGCTTTCAAAAGTAAGTGACACTGAGGGGTGAAGGAGAACAACTAAACTAGATTGTTCCGATATGTCCCCTGAGACAGTAGTCGGTGTGACGGCACCGAAGTCCGTATTGTTCCAAATCATTTGTCCCATCAACTTATGCTACGTGAGTGAATTCCCTGAGGGAAAGTAATTACTGTATGAGAAACCAGTGAAATTATCCTTGGGGTGTACTTTTTCCTCCTAAGAATAGTTCCTTTCACAATTATGTTCTCTACTAGGAATCTATTATATGATCTAGTTTTTCCTCCAAAGACATCATTAATCATATGGTGAAAATGTAATCACAATTGAAAATACAAGATGTTTCGTTGAACGCCATGTTCAATGCTTGGCAATCGTCAAGCTCACGGATTTCAAAGAATCGGTGCCTGACATCTCCTTCTTAAAAGTACTGCTATTAATTCACTCATCACCTTTCTTCTAAGCTCTCTTTCTCTAAAATCATTATGTAGGAGTTTATATTATTATTCTAAGCACAATGCCAAGCTTTGCTACAGCATTATGTGTTGAGTTTGTGTCATGGCACCATGTTCTGGGAGAAATCCTGCGAGAAGAAGGCTTCCCTGGGCTTTACTGGAGTGGTGCAGTGTCTTTGTGATGGAAAGGAGTCTGGACTCGGAGCCAGACAGCTGGTCCCAGCGTTGCCTCTGACCTTGAGCAAACCATTTCTGCTCTCAGTCTCCTCCTTCCTTCACCACATGCCCAGGCCCTCTCGAAACCGCGTCAGCTCTACGTTCCGAGACGCTGCTCCCCCTCCGTGCCATGGCGTCCAACCCGGTGTGGTCCTGACAAGGGGCTCAACACGTAAGGGTGAATTTTGAAAAATTAAAAACTTGATACAGACAGCAAAACTCACATGGCGAGAAAAGTAACAGAAGACGCTCCGGCGCCCAAGGCTGGTCACACTTGGTGTCACACAGAGGTGATGCCAAACATAAGATGGCACCGTGAGAAGAGGGCAGTGCAGAGAGCGGCCAGAATCTGACCTCCCAGCTTCACCTAATCATGGCTGGCGACGGAGACAATCGCCAGTGATCAGAAGGACAAAAGTAGAAAAGACAAAACCCACGTGGAGGGGAGAGGAGACAGAACCCATGAAGGGGTGGGCTCTGAAGCCAACAAGGAGCGTGGGGACCCGGGCAGGAAAGGAGCAGGCAGCATTGACACGTAACCCCCGAAGGACTCCCCCCTCTGGGCAGCCCTGATGCCTGGGTCCAGACTTAATGCTTACTTTTATTGTCTATCCTGGGGGTGGCTCTTTGTTGGGGAAATATGGTTCCCAAGTTCTGAGCCTACTAGATGTAGCATTCAAGAGCCCGCTGGTGACAAGGGCGCAGTGAGCGCTGAGACAAGCTTCAGCAGCTACCTCCCCTCATTCGGGAAAACTCTCACTTTCCCTGGACGCAGCCTCCAGCCTAATGGGCAACCGACTCACCAAGCAGGAGCAGTGCAGGCCCTGCGGACACCGAGCCTCAAGAAGGAGCACTGCTCCCCTGTAGCCACAGGGACCCTGGCCCCCCAGGCCCTGTGCCAGGCACTGCATGGGCACCAAGTCCCACTACAGAGTTAGAAATCCCCACCCCAGGCCCAGGCCTGCCTCACTAGCTCAGGCACATGGGCAATAAGCCTCTTAACCACTCAGTTTCCTTTCTATTCAGGGAGAAGGTAGACAAAGATTTCCCACCCGAAATTTTTGCTAGAGTGAAAAACTGTCTACGTTCTGAATTGCAGGGTATCAAGAACAAAGGCAATGAGGGCACCTGTGGAGGAGGAAGGGCAGGGAGGGCACAGTGAACACAGGTGCTGCTGCAGAGGAGGAGGCCGGGGAGGAAGTCAGGGAAATCAGGCCTTGCTGGTTGAGAAACCAGCAACTGGGACACACCAGACCCATCATGACTGTCTTCCGCTCCAGCCCTAACCATCTGTGACTCACAGGCAGGTCCCTCAGGGCCCACTTCCTCTCCTTCCCTCCTGAGCCCACAAAGGTTACTGCAGGGCAAGTGTGGCCACCTGGGCGGAGCTTCCAAGGGCGGCCCCTCCCTCACTAATTAAGAAGCTATTACTGTAGGCTAACTTTGACAACTAGTGTGACCACTTCTAATACTTAGAGAATAAAGGGTTGACAAGCCACAGACCTGACTAGGAAATGATATTCTTCATTCTTCATTCCAAACCTGCTGTGTTGGATTTCAAACCAAGATTCTGCCACAGTTTTCAAATGTTTGCATTTCTGCATTGCAAGCTATCTTCACTTTACAGGATACCCATTCAAGCATTTCAACCACCATGACAACGTTTCCAAGGCCACACGTAACACATGGATAGAAACCTATCCATGTCACTCACAGGGTTGTCACTATTTGTCTATATAGACAAATCAAGCTGAAACATAGCAAGGCCCTCCTGGTCCCTCAGTGCATTTTTTCGGTAAAATCTTTTTCCAAGTTGAGAAGGAAAAGGCTATAACTCTATGCTGAAATTTCAGTAGGCTCAAACGAATGGGTCCCACCCTGAGCCTGCCACAGAATTTCTTTCTTAACAAAACAGGCTGGCATACTCTGAAATTGTAAGTATCAGATGACGGTGCTATACAATCAGCTATTGAAAAAGTTCCGGATCTATTCCTGGTTGTGCATACAGACATAAAGTCATCTAACAACCAACTTGGCTCACAGGTCCCAGGGACCAGTCAAAGTTCTAAAATTGTGTACAAGGAGTCCAGAGTGCCACACATGCCAACGGTCTCAATGGCTTAGCTTCAAGAGAGTAGGAAAAAGAAAATGAATGTAATAGAGGAAAACAAATAGAAAGAAAAATAAAAAAAACCGAGTCTTTGTGGGTGTTCTTTAAAAAGAAGGACTGAATATTTAAGTTGAGAGTCCTAAAAAATTACAATATTCCAGTGGCACCTGAGTTACTTTGTGAATTGTTCCTAATTCTTCAGAGATTTTCAACTTGTTTTAAATGATTCATTAGAAACTAAGGACCATTGTTTCCTGGAGATGTCTAACACGTCCTCTCCCAGTCGGCCCCCACCCACCTGAAAGATGGATGGATGATGGGTGCACAGAGCAGAGGGAGATGAGGAGGAAGTTCCACAGGAAGAAATAGGTCAGGCTGGAAAAAGAAATCCCAACCCAAGGAGGCACTGACTCTACACACTTTGAGAATCTAGAGTTGCAAAGGAATATCCAGATTGCTAAGAAAACTCAAAATATCGTCAGTCGTCAATTCTGGGTAACATGCTACAAGCCGGCAACAAACTCCTGTACTGTGTGGCTTTCCGGAGTTCCATCCTCTCTCCTCTTCTATTTTATTTCTACGGCTCATTTGACAACAGTTGATTTTTATTTTTAGCCCACCACCACCACCCAAGAGAGAGTTCTTTTAAGATCCTCAAACGTAGATGACTGGTTTCCTGAGAAGTCACTCTAGGTCACTGGCTACCTTCTAACACTTCAAACTTGGGAGGGAGCACCTATCTTCTATTTTGCTCTGAAAAGCTAAAAAACAGTCCCATCTTGAAAGACTAACATGAACAGCATCCAGTAAAGAGGACCTCCCGAGGGCACACCGGAAGCCAGCGCACCAGGACACCGGTCAGCCTTTGTGAAATTCTTTGTAATCATATCAGAATTTAAGAGCCACTATGAATCTTGAGTCATCTAAGCCAACTTGTTCATATTATAGGTGAGACAAAATCGGGCATAAAGCAATTAAATAAACTGGCCACAGCAGTGACAGAGTGGGAAGAGACTCTCAGCCCCCCAACTTCCAGACCTAGATTTTCCCAACAACCTGTTGCCTCCTAACACACACAGCAGCCCCTCCCTACCTTTCTTCTTCCACCAGGGTCCCTCTGGGACCGAGTAGGAGAGGTCCTTGAACTCGATGTTCACCGCTGCCCTCCGAGGCAGGGAGGAAAAGCGCTGGGCCTCCGTGAGGTTGTTGTCCACTTTTTTCAGATGGCCATTCAGCAGGTCCGTCTCGGTAGCCTCCATGTTGCTGGAGACCACTTCATCCACTGAGACGCACACCGACTTGGGCTCCGTCATTGCTGCAGAGTAACTGCTGGCATTCTGGAAAAACGAGAGGAAGCACCAAGAGAGGTCATGAGCTACATCAAGGGAAAGTGCACAAGGGACTCGTCATCAGGCTCAGGTCACTGATTATTTAGAGTAACATGTCCTGGACGACAGAGAGCCTTCGCATGAGAGGAAAGGTGCTCACCGAGAGGAATTTGTCATCTCTAGCCACCACTTTTTCTTCTATTAAAACAGGCTTAAGATGGAATATTAAACTGATCTACCAGTCCTACTTTGGAATCATAAAATCTAATCACAAAACTATAATAAATGAATCACTTGTCTCAAAGAATGAAACATCATCATCATAAAAAATTATCTATCTACAGCCCACTCATTAAAAAACCCAGTAAAGATGCATGAGCCACCTAAGAAATGTATAACTGACAAAGTTTTATTTAAAATGAGCTCTCGGGGGCTGGCCCGGTGGCAGAGTGGTTAAGTTTGCGTGCTCTGCTTCGGTGGCCCAGGTTCACGGGTTCAGATCCCAGGCGCGGACCTACACCACTCATCAAGCCACGCTGTGGTGGCCTCACACGTACAAAATAGAGGAAGACTGGCACAGATGTTAGCTCAGGGACAATCTTCCTCACCAAAAAAAAGAATAAAGAAATAAAATGAGCTCTTGTAGTGCCTTCCTTGTGTAATCTCAAAAACATTTTTCAAGAGCAGTGGCACCACTTGAACTGCTGGGTTTTGTGGGAGTTGGCCTTCGGATTCTCCTTGTAAATTTTCCAAATCACTTACAACTCTCTTCTCTCATTGTATCTTCATAATAGCACTGAAAAGCTGCAAAGGTTGATTTTTTCCCTCTATTATACAGAAAAGGCAACTGAGGGACAGACAGTTTAAGGGACTTGCTCTGAGCCCTATAATCAAGTGAGGGGTAGAAGTGATCCCAGAATCTGAGTCATCAGATAAAAAAAAAAAAAAACAGTTAGGTGCTCCTTCCACTGCATCACCAGAATACCTAATATTTTGTAGCTACACTGGCTTTTAAAGCTTCCATTGGGAGCCAACAGAACCATTACAGATGTGCCAAGAACCAAAAGTATTTATGCAAAGAAAGGAATATCTTTTTTAATGGCTTGGCAACCCTGAACGAATCAATATGCTTCAGGTACCTCCAAAATCCAGAAGAACCCTGGGGTGGGCAAATATTATGCTGTGCTTTCTCTAGCTCTCTCTTGAATCAAGAGAGAATGTTCCACGGTGCCAAAAGCATGGGCCTTTGGCGACAGTCCTCCATACTGTTGACGGCAGTCTGCCTAATTGGGACAGCCCATCGATAACCATTTTTGATCACTCAGGCCCTTCTGACTGCTGTAGGACTGGAGAGACGCTGCTGTGTTGTTATTTGTTCTAAAGAGGAACAACATCGGACTGTTATTTTTCCATAGGTTTGTCAGGTATTTCTTTAGAGTCAAGAGCTTTTTGATCATTATTTTCTAATCAAAAATCCAAAACAAAACCAGAGAGTGGGTCATCCATAAATATCCCTACGAAACTCAGCAACTTTAGCGGCCAAAACAAGCCCTCCCCCAATAGAACGCCCTCTGGAGGGCACGTGACTATAGTGGAAGAGCTGGCATTATCTCCATCATGGTATGTAACGGCTCAAAAACCTTGAGGGGCGTGGAGGTTTCCAGTATTTAAAACACAAACAGGAGATGGGGAGATGTGAGCACAGGGGTTTCTGGTTCTTGGGATGTTTGAAAATGTTGCTTTGCCGTTTAAGAAAAAGGCACACGTGTGCACACACACACACCTCCGGGTATCTCCTACCTCTGACAAGTTTAACCGAATCAAAACTTAGCTCACTGACTATAACATTCCCTGGGTAAAAATTAAAGTGCAGGGTAAAATTCTGATGGAATTAAGCCTGGTTTTCTACTGGCACTGAGCATGTGATGTTTCAAATGCAAACATAAGGAGGTACACACATTCTTGACAAAGTCAGGGACAGTTTGTGTTAGTCTGACAACAGGGCTCCTCAGAGCCGGAGCAGGCGTGAGAATGTGCCTCCCCACCTCCCAAGACAGAGCGCCAGGATGCCGCCTCTGCATCCGTACTTGCCCAGGCCTTCTGTGTTGGGGCCTCTCAAAGGAATAATAGGAGACCCTGCCTCAGCTCAGCACGTTCTTGGTTTTGGCCAACTGGAAAAGTGTGCAACTTCAGCTCCAGCACCTAGATTAGGCACCAAGTGCCATCTGTTTGACCCCCTATCCTGCCCTTTCGGGGCACATGCTCCTGCCCCGGGTTTATAATCCAGTCTGACTCCACAGCCCTGGAAGCACTAAATCCTGGCTTTGGGGGTAGTGGAGAGAGCAGTGAGCAAGACAATTAACTCCAGGGCCAGTCCCCAAAGTCCATTCTCTCCCCCATCTTGCCCCCCAGGTGGAAAGGCTAAATGTCTGGTTCCAAACCCACAACCTGCTGGTGGACTTGGCTCTGTCCCCAGCGATCCCCAATCGCTGTGAGCTCAGTTGGGGGTGGGGAGTATCCAGCAACTCCTCTCTAGTGATGGACCCCTTGACCTCACCCCAGCATTCCAGCTGCCAGGGGCCACCCATACCCTCCCCCAGCATCCACCATGGTATCACCTCCTGAGGAAGCCGGGGGATAGGTCATGGCTTTCCTTTCTGATGAAACCCACATGAATACAGGGATGGACAGCCATTACTCCACCCACCTACCGACCGTAGCAGGTGCCAGACCTGTATGATGATGAGGGTCTAACTTTCCCCTCTAGACTCTAACCTACCTTTTCTCTCACTCCCTCATTCATTCATTCAATAAACTGAGAGCCAAAGAAAGCCCCAGGGGTCAGCAGTCAGCCAGACAGAATGACCTGTGGCGTCAGCAAGCTCATGTTCAAGGTTGGGGTCAATTACAATACTGTGAAGCAAGAGCTCTAATGAGATCACGCAGAGACCCAGCAGGGACTCCCAAGGCAGTGCAGACCCTGGGTGGGGGCACACAGCACAAAGTGTTTCAGAGGAAATAAAACCTAAGCTGAGATTAGCGAGGTTGCAGGGGGGGGGGGGGCCGGTTCACGATGCTCCCTGTGAGGAAACAGCATGTGCAAAGGCTCGGCAGCAAAAGAGAGTGGAACATGCAGAGATCTGAGGGAAATTCGGGGCCTGGGGCTCCGGTTTGGCGTGCTGGGGGGGGTGGGCAGGAGGAGAGGGGCCTTTGGAGTAAGATGAGACCAGAGAGACACACAGGGTCCACACAGTGAAGGGCTTGCAAACCTTGCTAAGGGTTTTGCACTTAATCTAGAAGTCTTTGGGGGGTCACTGAGGGATCTCAAAGTGGGAAGTAATGGCCCAGAACTGCACCTCCTGCAGCAACATGCAGACAGGAGGATGACGGTGGCCTTAACCAGCTGGTGGCAGTGGGGATGGAGACAAGTGGACAGGCCAGTAGGACAAAGCTGGGTGACCAAACTGATTTGGGAGAGAGAGAGAGAGAAGCCAGAGTGAAGTACTTCCTATTGAAAGTACTGAAGACTAACACCTCCTGCAGAGAAGGTCAGTGATTACAAGCAAGAGTGACTGCTGATCCAGCATCACAATGTGCCCATTAAACTCCAGTCTGCAGAGACCATGCCTCTTACTATCCCCACAGTTCCAGCAGGGGGGATTACGTCTCCCCCGCCTCCATTTCAGAGGAGGGATCTAAGGCACAGAGAGACTGCCCCACCTGCCCCAGACCCCACGGTTAATGAGTGCTCGAGCCGGGGTCCAGCTCTGTGCCACTTCCGTGCCTGCACCCCGTTCTCCCAGCCAGCATCCTTAACAGCGCTTGACTGTTGCTTAGCTTTCCACAGGCAAGTTGTAGGTGACCCTGGGTCATTCCAGCCCCTGTCCATTACAGGGAAATCCACAAGAAACTGAGGAGACCATACAACCCTACCCCCAAATAAACTTACACCAAAGCAGTGGCGACCATTACCCACCTTCCCTCCAGGGCTGTCCAGCGGCCTCACCCAATTAATAAAATCATGAAATCCCATATGATGGGAGGCAGTGCTGTCACTCCAAAATAGACCAGCTCTCTGGAAACACATCCTCAGATGAGAGTGGCCGGCAATGTAGGTTACAGGGAGCTTGTCCTTAGCCTCCTGAGCTCATTAAAAATAAAAGAGATACATCTTCCCTCCCCATTTGTCCCTTTCATTGAATGTTCCCCTATCTTACTGAAAATTGTCTTTGACCTCCCCGCTCCACACACACTTTGTGCCGCATAATAAATGGTAAATAATGGTAAGTCCATTCACAGGTGTCGAATGCCGAGAAGACCCTATTTGGATTGTTCATGAGGACATTCTCTTGGGTGCTGATTTCAGTTTGAATGCTGGGCATATGAAGATGCCTGTTTAGCTGGGGAGGATCTCTAACAGTCAGCAAGCCCCCCAGGCCCTTGTGAGGCTGGTTTACTCTACTCAGGGAAGCAGAGTTAGAGATAGAAACTTTTCCCCCAAGCATCATGGGGAAGGGAGGAAAGGGAAGAGGAATGCACAGACACCAGACATCAGCACGTACTTCTCTCCTTGGTTCATCGCTGCCAGCCTTGGTGCCCACCTAGACCAGTGGACCCTTCAGTTGGAGGGCAGGTCCCTCCCTGGTACCCTGGGCACATAAAATGAAAACATACTGGCCTTGGGCCGGCCCCGTGGCTTAGTGATTAAGTGCGCGCGCTCCGCTGCTGGCGGCCCGGGGTTCGGATCCCGGGCGCGCACCGACACACTGCTTCTCTGGCCATGCTGAGGCCGGGTCCCACATACAGCGACTAGAAGGATGTGCAGCTATGACATACAACTATCTACTGGGGCTTTGGGGGAAAAAATAAATAAATAAAATTATAAAAAAAAAAAAAAAACATACTGGCCGAGAATCCTCAAGGCCACTGCCTACAGGACAATAACCCAAACATCACACCCTTAACTAAGTGAAGGGCAGATGCCACTTGTGTGGTCACTCAGAATGCTGACCTCACCATCACCAAAACCTGGCTTCAAACAGCCCCAATACCACCATCCCATTGGGAACCTATGCCCCCCTCCCAGCCCAGCTCAGGGACTCCAGCATGTTGCCCGGTGCTTCACCCTCCAAGGCACCTTCTCCAGATTCACACCTGGCAGTCAGCCCTGGGCTGGACCCCAGAGCAGGGGGCAATGGGGAAGCAAAGCTCAGGACCCTGGGATCTCTCAAGGCCTGTTTGTGTATGACTTGGGTAGAATTCTTTTAAGTAAAGAAAAGGTACAAGGTTTTCAGGGGTGAAAATGATTTTCACACAAGACAACGTTCCCTGAAAAAATGAGCCCAGCCATTAGCATCTCCACATGAAGGAAACCCTTGAGTTCTGGGGCTGTATCAAACCATAACATGACATAAAAGAATCTTGACATAAAAACCTCTATACCTTAAAACATACTGATTCATTATTTTCCCACACGTCTAAGCCTCTTTTGCTGCTCTGAAAGGACTTCAAGAGTTACCCAGCATCTAAAAGATCTGAAACTTTCTTTACCTACAACTACCGATAATAATCTCCTTAATTTTCCATTATCAACATAATTTTGGAATCCCAAAGAGATGAACAAATGTAAAAGGAAAAATTGCCAAGTGCTACCCAAACATTCAACCAGATAAAAGCAAATGTTATGATGAAGGGATTGCCTTTTCTATTTTTTTCATCTCTTCTTATGTGTAAGAAGCTAAGTAATAAAGGCAGAGCATGGTCAGAAATGAGACCTGGCCTGTGAGTCCCCCGACCCTGGCTCTCCCAACCTCCTTAACGTGTCTGCGGCCCCATTCTATCGGTTTACACAAAATCATTATATAATGAGCTGGCGAGGCTCGGTATGTTCTACAGTAACCTGTTTGGAATCACAGGATGCAGTTGTCAGAGCTGAGCATGCGCAGAAACTCGGCTACTTTTTTTTTTCATAAGCTCAAGGCAAGAGGTAACTGCCGGTCAAATGCTGCCGAGCTCTGCTGACTTCAAATACAGGATGCTAAAAATGAAATAAAGGCGAGAGGTGGGTGGGGGAAGCTGGTGCTTGCTGTGCGCTGTGGGCTTACAGCCTATGGGAAGACACTAGCAGGATAGTAAATACATAGACGATAGAAAGAGGGATGGATAGGGAGGGCGAGATGGGTTGGAATACGAAATACTTTCTATTTGTACTTTAGATGACCTGAAATCTGGTCCGTAAGCACCTAGCTGCAACGTCGGTGTGCTAGGCATAGAAACGAAAGGCCCCTAGGATGGGTGGGTCGATGGTTAGTTTGTTGTTGCTTGTTTTTTCCTAATACGACTTTATGGAGCTATTATAAACGAGCAAGAGGACACCCTGGACCACCCCTGGGAATAGCACTTGCTGTAACTGTGTCTAGCAATGAACTCGCCGGCACTCGGTGGTTCCCCTACTGAGCCGGTACCCTCAGGAGCCGTGAGATGCGCGTCTCTGTCCCCACCCCGGTCTCTCTCCAGGGTGCAGAAAGGTGGCCTGCAGGTATCCAGCCTCGCCCCTCGTCTGCCTCTCTGGACCCCACCGCCTCCTCCGCGAGCAGGTCCAGGAGAGGCTGTCCCCGTGGAGCGCAGGGGCAGCGCAGACTCTGGTTCTCGGGGAGCAGCTCCCTCTTTTGTTCCCCTGGACCGTGCCCCGCACTCCGGAGGATGGCGCGAGAAGTGCCCACTCCCCGGCTGTGCGCGCTGGCAAAGGGATTAGACCCCCTTCTTTCGGGCCCAGGCTGCCGCCCTCCCCAGTGCGCTCCGGGACCCAGGCCCCACGCCCCTCACCAGGAGGCAGACGAGGTCAAGGCCATCTGTCCGCTTACTGGCTGCCGGGCGCCTCCCGCCCACTCCTGGCCCCTCCGCCTTGCCCGCGTCCTCGGCCAGTGCAAAAAGCATCCCGAGGGGCCAGGAGGCCAGGGTGGGGTGCTATGGGAGCCGGGCGCCTCCCCGGGGATCCAAGGGCGGGTGTCAGGGTGAAGGTACGGGTCTTTGTGCGTTTCTTGCTCTCCTGGAAAATAGAACCAAGCCCTGGGGGCGAAGGATGCTTTCACTCACCATGGCGGTGCCGACCGAGAAAGCGGCCATCAGACAGGCCATGCCCTGGGGGCGGCGGCGGCAGAGGCGGCGGGGACGGGCGGCGGGGACAAGGCTGCGGGCGACGAGGACGGGCGGCGGGCACGAGGCTGCGCTCGCTCCTGGCTCGGCGGCTGCGCCGGGTGCTGCTCAAGCTGCCGCTCCTGCTGCTGCTGGGGCTCCAGCCCCGCCCCGCACCGGCCACGCCCACGCCCCGCCCCGTGGTGGGCACGCCCACTGTATCGCCCCTCTCGGGCCCCGCCCATGCCCCTCGATTGGCCAGCGCACGGGGGGGCGGGGCCAGCAGGTGCGCGTGCTCTTGTTTTGCTCCTGCCGGGGGCAGCCGCCGAGTTCACGGACATCGCTGCTCCTCCAGCCGCCCGCGGCTCTCCCCAGACCCGGAGCTCCGGGGTGCAGAAACGCGGGGAATGGGCTAACGGCCCTGGGCGCCCGACAGACAGCGGGGTCCCGGGTCAGGACTGCCACCTCCCAGCCTGCGTGGCGGGGCAGATGGGGCCAGAGGGGGCGTCCGGGAAAGGTGGGAGGAGGGGCAGGAGGTCTTCTCTTTTCTTTTCTTTTTTCGCTGTTGGGCACCTCTCTGCCAGGTAGGAGCGTGAGGACTAAAGAAGAAGAGATGGACATTCCAACGCCCTCCCCCCCTCCACTACAGCTCCAGATCAGGAGTGACCCCCTACACTGAGGCAAGGCAGGCACTCAGACATGCAACCTTGCTGTGGCTAGCGGGCAGAGCTCAGTCCTGGGTAACAAAGGGGCGCTAGGTGAAGATGCCCCGGCCTCTGTCTCCTGACCCCACCCTGTCCCCCCCAACAAGAAAAGAAAAGGCTTGTTTTTGCAGGCGTGGTGTTTCTAGTGCCCGGCCCAGTACCTGGCTCAGAGCTGTGTTCATGTAGCTACGTAAGGAATGACACTCCAGGCACCCTCTCATTTGGTCTCAGACTGGAATATCAGATGGCCTGGCGTCTGCTAGAGCCCTTATTATATATAAGTGGGACCATTTCCCTGGTAACCATGGTGATAAGACATTCTTTACTCAAAATCTCAGAGCCTGTTTGTTCGGTGGCTTGCATGTTGGGACCGCACACAGGAATGCATTTCTTCTCACCTCTGGCACACCTGGACACCCCTCCCACCACACCACAGATGAGTGGAGCCCCTGTCTTTCTCCTCATCTAGAAAGGGGGCACAGCTTTTCATGCCAGGCAGGTGGACCTCACACCCACAGGTCTGATGACCACAGCTAAATTCTCCCCACAAAATGAAGGAGGGAAAGGGGGTGTGATGTATGAGTTCAAGGCAGAGAGGGCCCTGCATCTGTCTAAGAGTTTCACTTCAAGAGGCGATGCATGACCTGTCTTCTATCCTTGGCTGTGATAAAGAAGGCAATCTGACTGCTGTATTTCCAGGTGCTGCTCTCTGCATGCCGGGCCCAGGAGGCTGTGTGGTGCCTTAAACGTACTGAACAGGACACCGGCAAACCCCGAATGTTCTGGAAAGAGGATTCAAACTCACAAACCTCCTGGGGAGAGTTTAGGCCGGAAGGCAGAGCCAAAGGTGCCTCATCTCTGGGGCCCGGGGATGGTGGCCAGCCCTGCAGCCCGCCACTTACTCCGGGGGCAGACAGAATATAAAGCAGGAGAGGAAGACACAGAACGCAGCTGGGACAGGTTCTCTGTGAGAATCTAGCTTGACACTGCCCAGCTATGTGGCCGGGGCAAGTGACGTGACATTGTGGTCCTGTTGCGCTGACATCTATTCTTTGTCCAGTATCCATTCTCCTCGTCCCCTGGAATGTGCCCAGAATTTCCTCTTGGAAATCCCCCTACCCCTTAGTTCTGTGCCCTGTGATTTGTAGCAGTGGTGGGGCAGAGACTGGAGGTGTAAGGCGATGCTTGCTGGGCTCCTGGGAATGACCATGGGGACAGTGTGTGGACCCTGAGGATGAAGCCAGAGACGGAAGACAGTGATAAAGTGTGTCCTTGTCGTTGTGGCTTGAGCTGCTGGGTTTTCTGTTACAGGCCTCCGAAAGAGTCCTCACTCGTACATCTGTACTTGGGGGTAATAATAATCAGCCACACGGGAACTAATGCACGTCCAGCACTTTCCACCATGCATGGCACATAGCAAGTCCTCTAATTCTAATTCTAACTAGTGTTAACCCTCTTGTGCAAGTAAATGGTAGATTAGGTCAGATCCGTGATGTTAACGTGAGGACTTGTGGTTGTGAGTGACAGAAACCCAACTCCAACCGGCTCAAGCTAAAGGGAATGCATCATCTCAGGAAACAGAAAGGTTCAGGGTGTGCTGGTTTCAGGCCCGCTGGGGCCAAGCAGCCACACTGTGTCCCCAGCCCTTGGTCTCTAGCTCTCTCCGTGGCTCTGTTTTCCATCTGCTTGCTTCCCCCTCAGCTAGGCTGTCTCCGCAGCTTCAGGCTTGCCTCCTATCAGCTGGCGTCCAGCCTCTGTGCCCAGAGGGCTGCCAAACACCGATTGGTCTGGCTGGAGTCACATGGGCCAAACAGGCCAAAGGGAAGGTCAGCACCAATGGAACCATGGGTGCTTTGCCAAGGCCATTTGGGGGCACTCTGAGCAGAAGTGTGGATGCCAAGCAGGCAAACACAAGATGACGTCATCACAGGACTGTCCAGACCCCAACCCCTATAGAGATTTCTGCCATGACATCAGCCAGAGGGAGGCCAGGCTGGACTTGAGAACTTCCAGTGGGAAGGCATCTCAACAGGCAGCCACTCTAGCATTACGATGCTGTCATTGCCAGCAAGCAGTCCCTGTGCCTAATTGGTTGCCCCGTCTCCCAGAGTGCTCTGTGTTCCACAATCACACAGAGTCAGTCAGCCCCTCCTCCTCAAGATAGTCCTTGAGCTATTCAATCATGGCGCCATATTTCTCTCCAGGCCTTCGCTTCTCTGAACCAAACATACCTAGTCCCTCCAACATTGTTTCATGGAAGATGTTCCTCCCTTCTCACCTTTGTCTGCATGAGTTCCATTTTCTTGGTGTCACTTGTGAAACTTGGGGTCCCCGGTGAGGGGGTACAGGTAAGTCAGATGTCCAGGTGGGCTTGTGGCAGGCCTGTGGACTGACCCAGGTGAGCTTCTTGAGGGAGCTGGCTGCAAGGGGGTGAGGCTGGCTTGGCAACTCGGATTGCCCCACTCCAGAAGTCCCTAACAAAGGTCTCTGGATCCACCCAGAGAAACCTTTGGGGACATCCAGTGGCTTCCCAGCCTCCTCGCCCCCAGCTGTCTAGGAGGAAATCCAATGAATGTGTTTGGTAATACAGTCTATTTGGTAATACAGTCTTCTTCACATGTTGGTGGTTTGGCTTTCAACAATTTGACCTTGACCATTCTTTGATTACAGGGTGGCCAGCTCTGAATTAACCTAAGTGGACCCCGCTCGGCTGACTTTCTTCTGCTCAGCTACAGAGCTACACCAACCTAAACTTCATTTTCCAAGACCTACGATTTCAGCCACGCGCTCAGCAGACGCTCAGAGATGGCCTGCTCTGCCGGGAACTGATCTCAGCGCTGGAAACATGCATTGGACAAAACAGAGAAAACCCAGCACCAAGGTGTAGTCCCACAGTAATGGGGAGAGACTGGAAAGCTCAAGTTCTTCTCTAGGTTGGGTATGTTTTTAACTTGTTCCATGAGCTTAACATATGTTAGAGATAATTGTTTGCCTAAGCTAGAGAACCCTTTCTGTGTAGTTTAAGAGACAAACAGGACACGTGGGCCTCCTGGTCCTCTGTGGTCCTGCCATTTTGGAGTCAACCCTTCAGGTGTCACACCCTAGGGACTTGATATCTGCAGCTGTGTCCCCCCCCCAAACCACCTCATCCCCGATGCTGTGCCCTCTTATAGTCTGTGCATCACATAATTAATTTACTCTTGAGTGTGCTTATTTTCCACCACTCCCCTCTGGAATGTAAGCTCCCTGTGGGCCAGAATGTCTATCCACTGATGGATCCCCAGCCTCAGGAACGGTGTCTGGAAAAGAACTTTGTCCAGGCTCATTAGGTGTTAAGTCTATGAGCCAAGGTCCCACCCCAGATCCCTCTGGCTCCCCTGCCCAGGCCATTTCCAGCAGACATGAAGCCCCCAGTGTGGAAATGTGCCTGCCCTGCGTGCCATGTGCCACCAGGGGAACATCTCCGTCATTTGACACGTCACCGTTTCATGGAAGAAAACAAAAAACTGAAGAAGGCTGGTCCCCCTGCCCCTGTTCCCAACTCCCCTCCCACACATCGACTGCCGTGCAGGGGCAATGTGAGGAGGGTTTATGGGATTTCTTTCCCCAAAGCCTCAACTAAACTCGATTTGGGAGGGGATGGTATAAGGAGCTGTTTGCTTGCTTGTTTTTTATAACCGAAAGCTCTGACTCTGAAGGTAAATGTTTTCAGCCAGACAAAAGCAGAATATGGTGCTGCAACAGCCAGGAAGAAAGAGGGGCTTGTCCCTTCTCCTGGCTGCCAGTGGTGGGAGATGTGATGGGGACTCCTAGGAGGCAGGGAGGGCAGGGGTGGATCCTGTCCCATTGTCCCCAGCCTGTGACAACACGGCAGGTGCTCAGTACTGGAGGAATTCATGTCAGCAACTTGCCCTGGGCCGGCCTGGAGACCTGCCCTCTGGTGATGGCCCTGCCCTGTTGGCTTCCCTGATCCTTCCACATTGCATTAGCTGAGAATTAAGGGCCACTGGGCCTTTTCTACATCTGTTCACATAGCAGCCATTGCTTCCACTTTAAAAAAAGAAAGAGAGGGGCCGGCCTGGTGGCATAGTGGTTGGGTTCACACGCTCTGCTTTAGCGGCCCAGGGTTCGCAGGTTCGGATCCCGGGCACAGACCTACGCACTGCTCATCAAGCCATTCTGTGGCAGGCGTCCCACATATGGAATGGAGGAAGATGGGCACAGATGTTGGCTCAGGTCCAATCTTCCTCAACAAAAAGAGGAGGATTGGCAACAGGTCTTAGCTCAGAGCTAATCTTCCTCACCAAAAAAATAAATGAAAATAAAAAAATAAATAAAAAAGGAAGACAGAGAATAAGAAAGAGAGAGAGAGAGAGAAGGTGGAAGGAATGGAGGGAGGAAGAGAGGGAGGGAGAG